CTTGGGACTGTCTTCATTGGCTGGGTGATAACTAATAAAAAAGGGGGAAATTCAGTAGATTCCTAGTGTCTTGTCAGCCTTAATAACCTAATGCTGCTGCCAACATGCAGAATGAAAACGGGCGTTTTAAACATGTATTTATTAAATGTTACTGAACAGCGTGTTGCCTGTGTTGTCCGAGTACCGGCAGTGTGCACACCGTGCAGTGAAGATCACGTAGGTTACGTTCAATGCTGCGTATACGCACATAACACGGGTAGAGTAACAGGCTGAGGGAGGGAACTTCCATTCCCTGTGTTCATGCACCAGCCTCGCCAGGACAGTACAAGAAAATAGAGGACAGTCCCAGCATCTTGATGCGACCTTTGCAATGCTCTTCCACCCCAAATTTTCATAAGTTTTTCCTTGACCCCTCCAGCCATCGCTGGGTCCCCACAACAGGAGTTCCTGTGCCATACCTTGGGCCAGAGACCCCCACCTCGAGGTGCAAAGTGTCCCTGGGTTGAAGTTTCACAGGTCTCTGGTGAACGTTGCCTGCAAGTCCCCCAGACACACGTCCCTCGGCACGGCCGGGCTGTCCTCGGCGGCTGCTGCCTGGACGACAGGACAAGCAGGAACGAGCTGTCAGCTCAAAGATATATAGAAACGGCTTCTGGGTTATCCCGGAGGTGAACAAGTGCTTGAATTAGGGCATTTGCATGTGACCACGTCCTGCCCTAAGTACACGGCCTTACCTGGATTTCATCATCTCATTTCTTGTCTTCCCAGTGTTTGATGTGTTTACATTATCCCCTCGTTGGGTGAGTCTCCCACATTCCAGCCTTTCTACCGGCCTTCTGGGGATATATGAGCTCGGATCTGTGTGATTCATGGCACTGTCTCCTCCAGCCCTTGGCAAAGCAAATTCCTTCACTTAAAGAACTTTCTTCCAGCCCTGGCAAACATCTGCAGGTAGAAGAAGGGCAAAATGTGTCATCTCTCACTCCAACTGATCCGGACACGCAAGTGCATTGGAAGTGCATGAGTGTTTGCATGCTGGAATGAATTGTTTCCGTGTTCTCTGGGCATTAACGCTGCCAATTAAGTGCATCACGGAAGTCAGCAGGCACTGCATGGAAGAGGCGGAGGATGCTCCTGCTTCACTCAGCACTTCCACCTCCTCAGCCGAGCCCAGTCCCAGCTGCCAAGCTTGGGGAAAGGTATTAAGGATCCCATGGGACCCATGGGAACATCCTCCTCCATCCAGTGCACAACGTGAGACCGGTTTCCCCACAGGAGCTGGACTTACTACAAAATGTGGTACTCCAGGAGCACCTCGTGAATGCAAACCCCGACCGTGCTGAGCCGGGAGATGTTCTCCCTCCAGGCTCTCCTTCGGGCATCCTCTGGCGATTTCGTCTCTTGCAGCTGCCATGAAGCAATGTATTAAATGGGATTTTCCATTCCCAGAGTCAGATGATGAAGGACTGTGCAGTGGCCACAAAAAAGCCGTTAAACCTGCAAGAAGACGAGTGAGTAGCTCCATGAGGAGATGCACAGTGAATGCAAGAAGGTCCCTAACAGGGAGAAAGCCCGGCAGGCAGCAGAGCCCCACGCCGAGGCAGGGCCAACCCCAGGAGAGGGGCAGGGGAGGCAAGGCAGGAAAAGGGGATGAGTGTCCATGCCGAGGGATAACAGGAGATGTCTGACCTGTCAAGGGGAGGGCAGCACCGCAACAGCCGGTAGCTCTGACCTGAGAGGACATCACGGCATGCTCAGGACACCCCGTGCCCCCCTTGGGATTCTCCAAGCCCAAGAGGAACCGGGCTTTGGGGACACACCTTGGTGGTCCCCTCACCCAGCCAAGGGGGTGCACAGCCCCATCACAGCATTTCCCACAGATCGCCCTGTCCTGCAGCAAATTACGGGGGGGCTTATCAAGGCAAGGGGGGCATGCAAAATCTGCCCTACACCCTCACCCACTGCAAACACGGAGGCTCTGGAACAGCATCCCAGGGGACAGCGTCCTCCCTGGCCCGCTGCCACGCTCCCGTGAGATGAAACCTTGTCATCATCCTCTTAGCGACAGCGAATTTTGCATTAATTGGCTCATTAAGTGCTGGGCTGATTTTCTAAGCTGCCCTCCCCCACCTGGCACTCGGCAAAGCAGGATTAGCGGGGACTAACGACTTCAGAGATGCAAGATCCCAGAAGCAGGCTGAGATGCTTTCAGGAGAAGCCCCCCCATCTCACCCTCAGCTCTGGGCGGGCAGGGGGCTGTGCAGGCTGCGGAGCTGCTTTCTGCCCAGGCAGGATCAGTGCCTAGATAGTTGGTGTCCATGATCCTGGGGATTTTCAGACGAGGTGATTGCCTTAGCTGTTGGAAGCCATGGCAGGGCATTTAGGGAAGGATGAAGATAATACTGAGAGTTGGAAACCGATCAAAACCCCGGGGCTAATAACTTGCCCTTCTTTAATACCGTCTTAATATCTTCAGTGGCCACAGGCAATCAGGGTCTCAATTTTATAACCAAGAGATTAAGCTGAGACGTGGGAGTCACTCACAAGAAGGGACCTGGGCTCCTGAGCCACCAGCCCTGGGGTGCTGGACTAACAGCAGCTGCGGCTCCTCCCATCCTCATCCCACCCACCGAGCTGGAGCAGCATCCCTGCTTGGGGTCATGTTATTTGGGACGAGGAGCCCGCTGTGTCTGTGCAGGTTTTGCTCCTTGTTTCCCCGGCACCGCTGCCCCGATGGGTCCAGGGACTGCAGAAGGATATTTGATCCAGCCATGCCATCAGGAAAAGCACGGGAGAAGGAAGTGGGAGAGACCAGCTGGTTTTCTCACTGGTGGTGTGCCTGGCAGTCGCATCCCACGTGCCGAGGGGAGATGATGTCCTCCGGGAAGTCTGCGGGGAGACAAAACCCTCTTCTGCTCCACGCAAATCCCAACCCACACCTGGCACCGAACGGGCTCAGATGCAAAACAAAGAGGAGTGCCGCGTGATCCTCCCACCGTGTCCCCACACCAGCTCGCCCTGCCCTGGTCACGGTCCCAGCACTGGCCCCCGGGGCTCCGGGCAGGGGACGGGAACGCCACGAGGGTGTGCAAACAGCTGAGAGCAGCTTCAGTTTCTCCTGCTCCAAAAATCCCCAACTTGGTTGCTGGACAAAAGTGAACATGGTGCTGGTGCTGTGCTTGCTGCTGGCATTGCCAGGCAGGACCCAGGAGCGGGATTTGATGCTTCTCCCAGTCCTGATTACCCTGGGCTAAACTAGACGGAGCCCCTGCAAGGCAACCCCCTCCTTAGGGCTTTCCGGCAGCCTCTGCGGCTCTGTCTAATGTTTCCTTAAAGGCTTCGCAAACGGGGATGTTGTTCTGGGTGGGGAAGGGCTGCTTCCTTCTTACAAGCACTCTGCTTCCCCATTTTGTCTTATTTAGGGTTTTACAAGGACCAGAAAGATCGGGTCCTCTGGGAGAGGTGCTACACAGACCCAGACTGTTACCGGTGGCCCTCGGGGGACCGTCACCCCATGCATGACACTGATCCAGGTTGGTTTACCACCATTGCCACCTCTTGCCCACTGGATCATCCCACCTCTTGCACACTGTAAACCCACAAATTTTGTCCCCTTCACGCCAGGCGGGGTCCAACCCTGGTAAGGGAAGTGATGATGGTGATGCCACCACACTGAGTACTGGCAATTCCCCTCCAGCCTCGAGCTGCCTTAATCCATGGCCCTACTTAGGGGTCTGGGCAAAGATTAGCTGGGAACATTCCCAGCGATTAGGGTTTAATCGCTTTGACATTTCACATCTTCTTAAACCTCATAGGTGAGACCCCAGCAGCTGTAAATCCGCTCGGTCCTCGAGGAGCAACACCGAGGGCAGCTCCTCCGCCACTCAGGAACAAGCTTTACCCAGTTCTTGGTGTCAGATCAAGCTGCTTCAGCTAATAAATCTCCTTCTGCTGGAATGGGAATGGCTATAAATAGTGAAAAATAGCAGGACGGTGCCGTGTATCTGCTCTAAGGCTCCCTTTGTGCCACTTCGCATCTGGCTTGGAAGGAGCAGCCCACAACAGCTGTAGCAAAGCAAACGTTCTTGTGTGTATATCGTCCGTACACATCACCCATTAGACAAGCCTGGCTGGCATTTAGAGACCAATTTATTTGAGTTTTAGCATTTTTTTTTCATCTGTTGGACACTTGGCTGACAGCAGAAGCTACAAAAATTGTGTTGAACATTCACACATACGTATAGAAAAGCAGGTAAATAAATACATGAACACAGACACGAACAAACCATCAGGTTAACACATGCACTTGGTGAGAACTAAATGCAAATGGGGCAGTCTCCAAAATTTGGGCTTGCTTTGGTATTCAGCCTCTTTGCCCACAGCCAGGTGGCTTTTAAGCATTTTGTGCTGCTGTGGCTATCGGTGTGGTTTTCCTTAGAAGATTTTAAATCCCCCTCTCAGACAAATCACCCCACATCCAGGTCACCAACAGGGACTGCCCCCCCTGTTGGTAAATCCGCATCCTTGGGTTCCCAGGCGCCGCAGACCCTCCAGAGCAGCTGATGTCAGTCCGGGCTCTCGCAGTTCTCTGTGCTGAACCTTTCTCTGTCCTGCTGAGACAGAAGAAAACATCCATGAGGTCCCTTCCCAAATGGAGCTGGTGCTATCGGTCTTCTAAATGGGTTTAGGAGGAAATTCTCCCTGAGGAAAGCTGCGGTTGCAGCAGTGCCATGCACTGTGGAGCATCTCCTGCCTGCCCCTCCGCAGGCCAAGCAAGTCCTGCTCCTCGCGTGTACATGGACGATGCTCATGTTGGAGAAAGACAGAAGCAGCCCAAACGGGACAGGGCAAGATCCAGCACCGGGTCATCCCCCCCAGTATAAACCAGCATGAAGGATACCCACCCATCTCTGCCGATCACCCGAAAATTACACCACTTGCCCTAAGCTGCTGCTGAAAGCTCGGCCCCAGACTCAGTTCTCCTCCCTACCTGGAGAATTTTGCTGTAGGACAAGGGTGTGAACGAATCTTCCAGGTAGTGGGTGCCGAAGCCCATGATCCTGTTCACGGCCTGGTTGCAGATGCCGGCCACTTTGGCCGTGAGGTGCACCGCAAAGGCAAACTGGATCTCTTGGGGGTTGACGTCGGGTCTGCTGGACGTCATTTCCTTGTGGACGTAGGCATCGGCCAAGTTCTTGAAGGAGCTGTAGGACATGTCTCTGAAGAACCTCCACAGCTGTGCATCTTCCTTCACCTGGTTAAGAAGAGAATACACGCGTTACGAGTGAGTAACTCCGTGTGTCATCCTCGCGTCGCCGCCTTAACTCCACGCTAGCATTGCAGTTGAGGGAGGACAGACAGACAGACAATCACACCCAGTCGGGGAACTAAAAGATGCCATTTCCTTGATTTTACTGTTTCCCTGCCCTGGGGAAATCAATGGTGTTGCTCTGTTTTACAGCAGCGCAGAGGTTGGCCCAAATTCCCTCGACCCCACCGCAGCTCTCTTCTCACCTGCTTGTCCAGCTCATCTCCGGCACTCTGGAGCAGGGCGACGATTCTCCTGATGGCTTCATCTGCAGAGAGAGTTCCCAAGTTATCTCCAGCCCTTTCTCCAAGCCCCACACCCAGATGCTCTCAGGGGGCAGCGCTGCCTGTTTAACCTCCCTGAAAAATTTCCCAAGGACTGTGAATCCACATCCCTCCCTGCAAAAGTCATTTCATCCTATTGCAAGTGTCTTGTTATCCTTTAGCCAGGAAAACACCCTCCTGCCTTTGAATTTCTCTCTCCCAGCCCTGATGCTGAACATCTCCCCCAAGGCTTCACACAACTCCTTGGTTTGTGTAAGCCCCTGGGGCAGGACTGAACCAGCCCAGAAAGGCTTTGCATGGGGACGTCTCGTGCCTATATGTTTTCTTTACGTGTCGGCGAGGAAGCACGTGCAAGGGCAACACTCACCGGCCCCATCGGCACTGGATGGCTGTGGTGGCTCCCTGCATTCACGTGCTCTGCTCCCCTGGCATTCGCTGCCCTGCACGATCAGCCCGATCTCTTCGGAGACACGTGCGTAGTAGCTGTCGGGCCGCTCCACGTCTGCTGGAAAACAAACAGGGATTCAGACGTGAGTTTTTTTTTTTCTTTTTTGATGGAAAAGAAAAGCAGTTGCAGTGGTGACTGCACCCACGTGGTGCTTGTGCCCACCCCGGATCAGTGCGTACCGCCCGTGAACGATGGGGCTGCACTCTCCGAACCGTAACCAAGCAGCTGCAGCTTGCCCCAAATCTGCCGCAGCTTCGCAGAAATCCCCTGGGCATTTCAGCAGGGCAAGGGCTTGGTCAGGGATGGGGGTGTCCCACGGGCTCTGCCTGCCATGCCACAGCGGCCGGCTGCCCACAACCTTCCCGGCAGCAAACTGAAAGCAGCTTGAGGTTGGCCCTAGAGGGGCTTAAGATTTAGTCTCAGTTCTTGAATGCAGGTTTAAGCTAAACCACCATGTCCCTTGTTTGCCAGAGAGGGAAAACTTGTGCCTGAACGGTGCTTGGGGTAAGCTGCTGTGCTCACGAGTCAGAGCAACGATGAGTGCTCAAAGCATGGGCAGAGTGACCATTTCCTGGGGCATCAGATTGAGATCAGAGTCTCCAAAACTTATCCCCAACTCCAGAGAGCACCAGGAGGACAATTCTTAGGGTTAGGAACCAGCACTAAGCACTCCTGCTTTCCCAAAAGAAGCCCAACAGCGGTCTCATTGGCATTAGGGTTGGGTTAGGGTTGGGTTAGGGGTGGTGGGGGTCCCACCTGACGTGGCTGGTGCCTGGACTTGACGCAGGGGAAGGCAGCTGGGTCGCTTGGCCCTCACGCCAGTCGCCACATCTCCCCGCTCCTCCTCCGCGTGCTTCTTGAAGGAGAAAACCCTCTTGAGGCTGGGTCTCTTCTTCGGAACTCTGCCCAGTGGCGAGGATGTGCTCAAGCCCCCTCCGTGTCTTTTCGCCCCTTCTGACTTGGAGCTGTAAGGAGCTTTGGCGTCTTTCTCCTTTGCTTTTTGCCCTGTGTTTTTATTCTGGTCCTCAGGGCTTTTCTTGAAGATGAAATTTAAGAAACTTTTGAACCAGGTGCGTTGGGGTTTGCCCTGGGAAGAGCTTTTTGTGCTTTTCCTCTTGGGCTCCAGGTCCTCTTTAGGGAGCTCTGTGAGAGCTTTGCTCTCATCATCCAGAGCCTCATCCAGGTCCAATGCTTTGGGTTCCTCCTCCTGGTCCTTCCTGGGGCTGAGTTTAGCACACGAATACTTGCAGAAGTCACTTTTCGACCGTTGCAGCCCACCTGCCTTCCTCCCTCGCCTTCTGGCTCCCTCCTGAAGCGTCTTCTTGGCCACCAGCGAATTTTCACAGCAGCTCAGCGAGCGCCTGACGTAGATCTCCAGCACTTTCTTGGCCCCTTGCCTGTCCAGAGAGAGGATCTTGCCCGACGGCTGCCTCTCCGCATCCCATGGAGGCCTCTCCACAGCCAGAGCCCGCATGTTGCTGCAGAGGAAAACAACATTTTCAGTGGGGTTTTTGCTTTCCCTGGGATGCCACATGGTCAGGTTGGGCACAATGGACATCACCCCGTTTTGGCTAACACTGGAGCCCAAGGGTGCTTTGGGTGTCCGAGACTGTTTATGCTCCCAGTAAATGATCAACCCCTTTTATAGTGGTTATCTGAGTGCTCCTTACACAGACTGTGCACGCAAGGTTTTATGAGGGGCTATAGACACCACTGATAAAGGAAGCGAAACTGCGGGGAAGGGGGAGACGAGCTGGGCACATCTGAGGGGAACAGCCTGGCTGTCATCCAGAGGGCTTGAGCCAGCAAGGGTATCATCCAGATACTGTCATGCTGTGTCTTCCAGTGTCAACATATTCCTATAATACAATGAAAAACTACATGCCGGGAGCACCACGGCCCTGATGAATCACACAACCCAGACTTTTTAGTATCTCCCCTTTAAGTATTGGCTGCCTAACAAAAAAAAAAAACAGTAAGGCTGGTTGCTTCCAGCCCTTGGAGAAGCCAAGGGCAACCTGGGCTCTTACTAATATCTTCAGTCACTTCTAATATTGGCCAAGCACTTTGAGATGACGCAGCCCCTCCATGAGCTCTCACCAGCGTAAGGCTGCTAATAGAGCTCAGCGCACCCGCTTCTTGCCTTTCCCATCGGCCTTTTCCTCCACATTTACAGACAAAAGTAAACAGGAGATATTACTGTTGAAAAAACAGAGCACCGGGCCTGTGCCTCATGCTGGCTCTACGTCTGAAACCAGTTTCACCGAAACCAGACTTCCTCCACCACCGAACAGCACACAGGAGGCCAACATCAAACTCCGGCACGCTTGGTTGTACAAACCACCCTGGACCAAGCATCAGGCCCCGCTCACTCTAGGTAAGCATCATCACAATGCACAAGGACACCCACCCCCCTCAACATGGACTTTTTGGGAATCAAGAAGGCAAGTTTCCTTCATCCAAGCCAACACCAAAGCCACCCGACCACCTGATAACAAATCATTCAACTATGTTTAATCACAGCAAAGCAACAACCCCCATCCTATTTGATTGATTCCAGTACATTGGCCACATCATTCTTTATTTGCTCTCTCGGTATTTACCTTTCCATCAGTATTTCTGCCCTTCTGGATATATGTCAAGACAAGCTCCTCGTCCACAAGCACTGAGGGTTGTCAGGCTCTCCTGGGAGGTGCGTTTTATATACCCAGGGCCAGTGCCTGGCTGAGTTAAGTCCTATTTTTAGCAGCCATTCAGGTAGGAGAGTGGCCAATGCTTCCGCCTGGGATCCCCGCTATCACCTCCCTCATCACGGAAAACCAGCAGGCGTGAGTTTCGCTGGAGGAGAAAACAATTTCCTTATGACAAAGAGCAAAACAGCATAAAAATCACCTGTCACCTGGTGTAAGCGCTGGCCTTTGAAACCAGCTATCTGAGCCAGCTCTTCAGCAGTTGGTTTTGGTTTGTTTTGCGCTTTTTTTAATGGGTGTGATGCCATGGTAAGGGCAGTTCTGGGTTGTTTCTGTAAGGAGAAGTCATAACTTTCTCAGATGAATGCAGTTTCACTGAAGAAAACAGATCACCTCACTCACATCCCAGGAGCTTCCAGGAAAGTGGATGTTGGAAACATCCAGGAAACATCCATTCCAACTTCCAGGAAAGTGGATGTTGGAAAGAACATCTTTCAAGCCCACCCTGGGGTCCTTCAGACGGCCTGTGCACCCACCCTAAAGCATGAAACAGGACCTGCTTCATGACCCGAATCCTTGGCAGCCGCATGGCTCAGCCTTGCCCAGGGACAGAGCGTCTCCCAGAGCCCAGCCCAGCCCACACGGATCTGCACATCTCAACATCCACCATCTGCCCCTGGGCCAAACAAAACTTCTTACGCCTTTCTTACACCAGACACCCATTTGGCCCCACAGCCGTCCCCCTGCACCCCTGTTGCACCCTCGGCAGGCTGCCCTCCATCCTCATCGCTATCTTGCCATCTGATGGCAATATTCCGCACTGCACCTTGCAGGGACGGTGCTGGATGCGGATGCATTAGCCGGGCTGCCGGCAGGCACACAGGCTTTGGAAAAACCTTTGGCAGGATTTCCACCCGAGCAGTGCTGCGTTTTCTCTAGTTTTCAGCTGGGATGATGTGCTGCCCAGGTCCCTCCTGGGTGAAAATGAGCTTTTCCTGATAACGGGTTCAGTTTGCAATTGAACCCATCCAGGATTATTTTCTTTCTGTTTCTGCAAACCTTCTGTTCCATAATTTCCTATAACTGGGAGAGATCCAGTCCATTTCCCTCCATTTCCCTGTACTCTGCTCTTGTGAGACCCACCCCCTGGAGTGGGGGGCTCCAGAGCCCCCAACATCAGAAGGATATAGACCGGTTGGAGCGAGTCCAGAGGAGACCATGGAGATGCTCCGAGGGCTGGAGCCCCTCTGCCATGGGGACAGGCTGGGAGAGTTGGGGGGTTCAGCCTGGAGAAGGGAAGGCTCCAGGGAGACCTTATAGCACCTTCCAGTGCCTGGGGGGGCTACAAGGAAGCTGGGGGGGACTTTTTCCAAGGGTCTGTAGTGACAGGACAAGGGGGAACGGGTTTAAACTGAAAGTGGGGAGGGTTAGATTAGATATCAGGAAGGAATTCTTCCCGCAGAGGGTGGGGAGCACTGGGACAGGTTGCCCAGAGAAGCTGTGGATGCCCCATTCCTGGAAGGGTCCAAGGCCAGGCTGGATGAGGCTTGGAGCAACCTGGTCTAGTGGAAGGTGTCCCTGCCCATGGCAGGGGGGTTGGAACAAGATGGGCTTTAAGATCCCCGCCAACCCAAACCATTCTGGGATTCTATGATTCTGTGATTTCTCCTGAGCCTACACCAATGAGTCAGTCTCTGCTATTGATAAGGAATTACCCTGCTTTGTTTTTCAGCATGCCCATCTCCTGCTGATAAATAATTAAACCCTCTGTCAGGAGCTCCACGCTGCTATCTAGCATGTGACCACGTCCTCCCGTAAGCAAGTCAATTCCTGTGGGTGAGGAGTTTCAGTTTGATTTGGTATTTTCCTCTGCAACACACATGTAACAAACCCCCACATCCACTCTGGCCGTGGGGCACAGTTTGGCCACTTCCAGTTTGGAGTTCTTGCTACTGGAGATTATCCAAGCCTGAATCCAAAGACCCTGGTCATGGATGACTTATGTTTAAACTAGGAAGCAGCATTGACTTATGGCTTCTTGCAGGCTTTTCCCCTTTGTTGTAGCATTTCTGGACACAGCCTGAAGATGGGATACCCACAGTGACTCCAGGAAATATCTTGGCCCCAATTGTGATTCTGGATTCTGGGACCTTTATCCAAGTTCAGATCCCTTCTAGGATATGGGACATGCTCAAACCTAATGGGAAAGAGGCATAAGGAAAAGGTGTTTGCAAGAAACCTGAGACAAACCAAAAGCCAGGGCTGGGGGACGGGATCTGGATCCCAAGTTGTCCGCTCTTCTCATCAGTACCAATAGGGAATGAGGAAGCTGGCTGGAAGCACGGTCACATGGCAGGAGCACACAACGCTGCGGTTGGTGTCTTCCGCCCAGCGACGTTGGAGGGAAAAGCAGAATTAAAAGCACAGGGACACAACGGGGTAATTGGCCTATTTAGAGGAACTTGCTTCAGAAGATGGAAAAAACCAAGGGAGAGGTATTCCTCACACGGAGCTGTGAGGTGCAGAGGGTTACAGCGGGCTCAGGAGAAGGCAGGAGTCAAATCACCCAAATTCATTGGGAACAAGACAGAAAGGCCACCGGCTAGGAGGCTGCAGTTGAACATCAGGAAAAGCTTCCTCTGCAGGAGAGTGGGAAACCTCAAATGGATGTCCAGATGGGGGGAATCACCCCCCTTGGAGGTCTTGAAGATTTGGCTAGCCAAAGCCACAGCCTATCTGACTGGGTGCTGGAGGCAGTTGTGTTTGAAGTGAGCCACAAAGATCCCTTCGAGGCAAGCCCAGCCATCTGAGCACAAAAATATCTGTAGTTTCGGATCTGCACCATGACGGGGGTGTTGAGGGTAACCACTGCTCCCCGCACAGACCACGGTTTGGACAGACAGCACAGCCAACACGTGGCCTCGGTGGAAACCTCTCAACCCGGCTGTGTGGTGCCTCTGATCCAAGACTCCCCAAAGCAAATCCTCTTTTCCTCCAGCCCTGGGACTGATTTTAGCTGCTTCCCTCAGCAGAGGAGCAGCGTGAGACGGCAGTGAGCGTGCAGGGGCATCGCTGTTGCACCAACACCCTGCCCCAGCCACCACCAGACCTGGTGCCGCTGAAGCATGGATGATGACCCAGGGACCGAAGCACCTGCAAACCTTTGGGAAAGCCCGTGTGGGGCACCTGCCTGCGTGCCACCGCCCCTGGACTTCAGTCGTGGCAAAAGTCACTGACTGCCAAGTGCTTTCCCTCCCCACACACCCCAGCACAAGCAGCAGTTACTCGGCTGTTTACCGAAAGGGATGGGTCCCCGTTCCAGGAAAGCAGCATGTTTACAGCCCTCCCGCCTCTGTTTACCGCAGGGAAAAAGAGACACATTGCCCCAGAAAGGACACAAGGGCTTCCTAGGAGCATGGAAAGAGCTTGTCATTGCAGCTCATGCTTGTGAAGATGCCCTTTGATTTTCACTCTCCAAGATCTCTCCAGAGCCGCAGCGGCACAGCACAAGGATGGTTGAGTGCTTTTGGCAGCTTCCCAACCAGGAGAGGAAATCCCCATCCAAGTCCAACAGGATCCTTAGTCATTGGAGGAAAAACAGGTGGAGAGGGTATCTTGCACACTCCGTGCGAGCAGGACACAAACACCGGTCACCAACTGTCATGTGCTCCAGCAAAACAAACCAGGGAGGGCTGGAGAAGTGATGGGATGCATGGGAACCATCAGGGCTGTCTCCACAGCAAGAAAGCCATGGGAGTGACTTGTTAGGAGGTCAGGAAAACTGGACCCATGGGTGTGCGTCCCAAGAGCGACGCAGGGCTGGGATGGGACAGTTGCCAAGGAAGGATGTCTGCTTTCCCACCAAAGCTGTCCCTCAGGGCTGGGCAGGACTTACACTGACTCTTTGCTGGATTTCACCCCAAGAAACATCCAGCTTTAGTCTCTCTGGGACCAAACACACCCTTTGTGGAAGGAAGGATGAGGTCTGGGTGCTTCACTGCACCTTCCTGGTACGGTGCACCCCAGTTTGGCTGGGTGCTGGGTAACCTCCAACCCCCTCCCCAGCAGAGATTTTGGCCTCCCTTCCCAGCTAAGACCTCCCAAAGGCTGTGACTCTCTGCTCATTTACCCCACTAGTGCTTCTTGCTTCCTTCTCCTTTGCTTGACTTCTCAAGCACTTGTGTTTTGCTAATGAGCTGGTGATTTTTTCTGGAAGTGAAACTTCTCAGACAGCGTTTCTGGAGATGTCGTGCTGTTGATGTTTTGCCAACCAGCCACCATCTGTCTCACCACCATCTCCTGCTGGCTACAGCCCACCAGGCTCCAGTTAATGGGTGTAAAGTAGTTTGGAGGAGCAACACCAGTTACAATGAAAGGGACTGTAGCTGCTGTCACCAACCCTTGCCAAAGTATTTCACAAGAGTGACGGTTCCCAGACCCATCGCTGCCCCAGGGGCGGTGCCGATGCAGCTCTGAGATGGCAGCTTGGGCTTGGGACATGGTCCAGAGCAAAGATAGGAGGCAGCAGGGTAATTCCTGCAGTGTTGCAAAACCGAGGTTGGAAGGAATTCACCTTTTCCTATCAGCCACGATGGTCCTTCATGACTGTATCTGTGCTTGTCCACGTAGGTACAGAACGACGTGTGTTTGCTGAGCAGCTCGGATGGTTGCACTCTGGTTTAGGGGCTGCTGAGCTTGGGGACAAGATTTGAGTGCCCACAAAAGCTGGTTTTAAATGAGGAAGGCTTAGATTTCCCAGTTTCAGACCTTCAACCAGCAAGAAGTAGGATTTTTCAATGTTACAGTCATGGGATTTTGTTTCCTCAATAAAAAGCGGTCTGAAATTAGTGGATATTTTCAGATTTAGAAAACACACACACACATTGTTCCTTCCAGGCCAGTAACTGTGCCTGGGGTTGCAGGCATGCCTGCTTCCGACTCAAGGCAAATAACCACGTCTGACACTGAGTGTGGTCATATTCATTACTGGCTTTGTTTCTTTTCACATTATTTAGTCAGCTAATTACAAAAAGCATTACATGGAGGGAAAGGAGTTAAAAATGAGACCCAGCTGAGGACATCCATGCAGCCTGGAGCTCCAGGCAGATATTTCAGCACATTCCCACCCTTAACCGCAGGAGCAACCCCACAGGAGGCAGGGCGATTACAGTGGACAGCCGATCTGCAGCGTAAATCCGTTCTCGATTTGGGGAAATGGCTCAGATTCAGAGCGGCGTGTTCACACCTGGGGACGCTGATCTCTGCCAAAGCACCTTGGCAGACGTTTGACCAGGAGCACGTGCTCCAGTGCTCTCTGCGCAGCATGTCCCGCTGTAAGGGCAGAGCAGTCTTCACCAGCAAGTTGAAACCTTTAAGACAAGCATCAAAATGTACAGAGCAAACGCACCACATTTCGTCCCAGAAGACCGAAGAGAAGCAAGGAGAAAACCAGCCCACTCGTTCACCTGCATTTTCAGGGCTGGGGGACAGTTTTGGAGCGTGTTTTGCTAATGAAGCCACAGAAATGTCACAGCTTTGGCTCAGGGCAGGTTTTGAAATCCAGGACCACCTCTCTGGCCTTCTGTCCAGGAGATGTAAGACACTGGCACTTCCCAACGGAGCACAAATCTGTCTGCCATGCACTGCAAGTGCCACCGTCACAGGTTCCCTACAGTGAAACCTCCAGTGCGTCTTCTTTCAAATCCTCATGGTCCTCATTCTCCAGCTGCTCCAGTTTTCTGGATTTTTCATGGATCATCTCACCAGGAGTCTTCAAAAACCTGCAGTACATTTTTTCATGGCTTTAAGGGCATACCCAAACCCAGCTGTACCTTGCCCTCCTCAGCTGAGCTCTGCAGCTCACCAGAGGCTATCTGCCACCCCTGGGCTTTGCTGAGCATCCCAGCTTGCACCCAAGATGCACCGAGCCCAGAGAGACAAAGCATGGGACACATCAACCTGGAGTTGGCATTTTAAGTCCAAACTAGTCCCAGGGAAGCAGCTAGCATGGAAACAGAAGGCTCCTGACTTATTTCTACCCCTTCTTCTGTCTGGAGGTGAACTTCAGACCTGGTGTCACTGGGGAACAGGAGGGACCTGTCCAGCTTGGGTGGGCTCAGGGACATTTCCACCAGCACCAGCTGGACCCCACGCAGGAGGCAGATGGATGCTGACCCACAGCACTGGAAAGTGCATCAGTTGGGACCCGGAGCCCAGGGCTTGCACAGGACAGAGCCTGGTCACAAACCCATCAGGGCGTTGCATTTGCAAGGAAGGGTAAAAGGAAACAAATCAAAAAGCAACCACTGAGGTTTTGCAAAACTAAACCCAGCCCAGGTTTTCACCTCAAAGTGAAAGCTGATTACAACTCTGAGATGCACACAGCCGCTGCGGGATGCCTGAGCCACAGGAGCACAAGGCCAGGCTGGGACCAGCCCCTGATCTCCCTCACAGCACCATAAACCCAGAGGACAGCCCACGTTCCCAGGCCTTACCCCGGCATACAGCAAAGATGCTACAAGTTCAGCTCAGTCTGAAGCAATATGAAGCAGTTGCCAACATCTGGAGCCCACCACCTTCCTGTGCCCCATCCACACCGTCCCAAGCAGCTCGTTTCTCTGATCTGCTTCATCTCACCTGAACAACAGCTTCTGCCCCGGCTCCTTTTTGATAATGTTGAGTTTATAGTAATGTCTGAGCGCTCGTGACATCTTCTCATACGTCATGTTCATCCGGTTCTGGAAGAAGAAAAGAATTGGGTTGGGGTTGAGTAAGAGCAAGCACCACACCTGGTTTGGGTCTGTCTGCAGGAGGCCACGTCTGAGACACTGAACATGGCTTTTGGGCATCGCAGGGATGACAGTTGGTCCTCAACTGCATTTACCTTGTGGTTGCCCCAGAGCTGGGCAAGTCCATTTGGGTTAACAACCCGGAAGACCTTGGCTTCCTTGTCTTCCCACTTGATGTAAGGCTCGTAGCGGCTGTCTGAGAGAAGCTGGTACACATAATCCCACAGCAACCTGCAGTCTGAGCATTGGTGGAGAAGAAACAGTCACAGACTCCCACCAAAGCACCTATGCTCCAGTAAGGGTCGGTCAGCAACAGGATTGCACGCCAGCAATGATAAAAACATCTAAGAAGAGCCCAGAGCTCATGCACAGCACTTTTGCTGGATCTCAAAACGCTAGCAGGAACTATGATTTTTCAAGTGGGGAAACTGAGGCAGGGAAGCATACACTAATATGGGGACAGATGGGCAGACAAGACAAAGCATAATCTCATTTCCCTGATAAGCCAGGCTATAAATTCATATTTACCTGCAATTTTCCCATCCACTGGGGTTGACAGGGCTGTAGGAAATGGGCTGTGATGGGAGAGGTTCAGCGGCTCCGGGTGGCTGCGGGACACAGGCTGTTCTGCACAACCCAGGCAGGAGGACACAGCAACCGGGGCAGCCTCGGCACTGCAGTCAGTCCCTGGGGAAAAACCAAACACAACATCCCTATGGTGCATTAGGCAGGTCCCAGGAGATCTTCCAAAGCCCCAGAGCAGGAGGGGAGGGACAGCCCAGGTCAGTTATCAGCCTGGATTTCAAAACCAGTCCAGCCGGAGAAGGCAGGTGCTGAGGAAAGCCTAGGATTTTCCTAAGGCAGGACCAGCAGAAGGTCCAGAGGGGTTAGGGAAGATGCCACACAGGGTGAGGGTCAGACACAGAAGAAAAGCTGGAATAGGAGAATGCACCAGGTAGAGACACTCCCTTGTAAACCATTATGGGGGCTTAAGATGTTCATCACCCTATACCTGAGTCAGCAGAAGAGCTCAGGAAAGCACTCCCAGATCCACCTCTAAACAAAGCCAACCACTGTATGCCAATCCATCCCAATCCTAACTCCTACCTTGGCACCAGCCTCACCTGGGGCCTCTTCCCACTCCATCCGTGGCTCCAGGGGGTCTATTTTGGCTCAGCCCTGGCCCATGAGTCCTTCCCCAGCTATACTGCAGGAGAACTCATCTCCAGCCATGGCTGTGCCTCTGCCGGGCTATTGACCCCCCACACCAGACCTCCACTTGCAGATAGTTTCCTCGCGTAGCCATAGCCTTGCCGGGTCACCATGTGACCTGGTGATCCCTAAACCTGATTCTGACCAGACCTGCTTCATCCTCACAAACTTTCTTGATGACCGGGACTTTGTTGGGCCTGGCTGCCATCTCCAGGACTGTCCTGCTCGCCTTGCTCAGGTAGTGTGGGATGGGTTCAGCTGGCTGAGCTTCAAGCCCTAGATGTGTGCAACCCTCTAGCTGAGGGCAGACTCTGCTGCCATCCTACCTTCCTTTGTGCTGCTGGCTTCTCTGAAGGGGGAGTTGAGCAAAGGGCTGCACACCAGAGCTCTTCTTTGAGTTTTAATGTACTGGAGTATTTCATATAGCACATCACCTGCAGGGAAGGAAAGTCTGCTCAGATGATTTTGTCTCACAGCAGAGACTCTCAGTTGATGTTGCTGCTTAGATTTCCGTGCTACAGAGTAAGAGGTTCCCCACCCCAAAACATTTGCAGTCCAGAAGGACTAAAGGAAGGAAGAGGGTTGTCCGTGTTTCCAGCACTCAGCTGGCCAGGCAGAGCTAAAGCCTGGTCTGCTGGGACCCATCCAGCCCCACTCAGCCCACGGCTCGTGCTGCGGGCGGAGGGTCCTCAGAAACACCCTGGCACTCCGTCTAACCTGAGCTCGGAGCTCGGTGTCTGAAGTCATCCTTGGTGAGGATGCACAGGGCCTTGCCGTTCATTTCAAACTTGCTTTCGTCCGTTTGCCGAAGGGAATACTCTTTCTCAGCCCATCTTAGCCAGTGGATCACGTCGTCCTTGCTCCACAGTGAGGGCTGGATTCCTGAAACCAGGGGCAGCCTCTGAAACAACTCAGTCTCCATCTTCAGAACTGCTGAGGGGCAGGGTAGGCTGCTGGCCTGGTCTAGCATCACACTTCCCCTCTATATTAAGCACTCACCGGTCAAAATGACCCAAAGAGAGAAAATGAACCCTGATGCCTGGTCCAACTTGTCCCCCTTGACAGCAGAGAATGGTCCCTGGGTGGGACACCACGGCTGCGCCCACCGTGTCCCCACCCTGTGGGAACTCCCATTGACTTGCTCAGCATCTACTCACTCAGCCTGCCTGGAAGCTTGAAAATCTCCCCCTCGATGATGGGTGTGTGTCTGGCCCGGGACGGGGGTGGGAACGAAGCTGCGACAACAGGGCTGGAAGAGCTGACTGCCACTTTACTCTGGGGAAAAGAGATCAAACGCATCAGTGGGGGAAAACTGCCAGTTCTGGCCCTGCCTTTGCTTTGGAGATGCCTCCGGTGCAGCAAACTCTGCTCAAGAGTTTCTAACCGGCTTCTCACAGCAGCACGATGTGCTCTCTGCAGCACACGGGCTCTACAACCTTTGCTAGCCCAGGATGAATCTCTGGTTGCCCAGGACAACATTAGTAGCCAAACATCCCCCTCTCTTCCTCCAGCTCTCTTCTTTTGCAGAGGTACTCGCCCTCATCCCCACTGCCTCATGGCTGCAGGGAGGTGGAAGATGGAGCCAAGACAGGCAGAGCCTGAGCTGCCCAGGAGGGCTCTTGTGTCCTGTTGGATCCTCAGATACTCGTTGGAGGTGCAGTTTTGGGACACTACTGCAATTCTTTAGAGTTGTGAAAATACAGCTGTCAATAATGCTTAGAATTTGTCTTAAATACACCATATGAAGAGAGATCACTAACTTTTTCCCCAGTGATCATTTGGCCCAAGTGCAAATAGCCATCCCGCAGTTTAGAGAGACCTCCGCTCATCTTGCTCTCCTGCCATGAAGTCCCAGTCCCTCAGGAATCACTCCTCCCTCTCGGTTGCTCAAGGGCCCCCTCCAGCCCCACGGAATGGGTGAGATGGGCAGTGCTGAGGGGAGAGGCAGTCCCAGCCCCTCTGCCAGGCTGGGGGGGGTCAGCATCGCCCTGCTCTGCCTCTGGGCTCTCATCCGGAACGTGTGAGCCAGAAGGGAGCTCAGCTCCTGCCTTCAGCCCCATCTAGATCTTGAAATATTAAGGGCAGCCAAGCAGATAATGTTTCCCCCTTAAGAATCTATTAATGTGAATCCCAGCAATTTCTCAGCTTCATTCTCTGGAAAATTAACACTTCTGCCTGCAAATAGTATTTTCTGAAGCAGTTGCCAACTCTGGGCACTTCAATACACCCTCAGGCAGATTTCTGGAAGCCGTTAGAGCAGCCAGTGCTCCTCGACCATGTGTGGGGCGGGTAGAGGAGCCGAGCTCCCCTGAAATTCAGAGGTGTAAAAAAAAAATCAGTGTGCAGTCACAGAGCAGGGAGTGGTTGGACACATCTTTAATGCAAAGCTGGTGTCCCCAGAGTACAGGAGACTGGAGGACAGCGCTCCATGCTTCCTGGGGAAAATGCTTCCCTGTGATCCAGAGGGAGAAAGGCAGCAGTTTGGAGGGGGGTGAGGGTTTTTTTCAGCAGAAGGAGCAGTGTTAATCTGCCTGCCTGCGCTGGAAGGATCGCTGGCTGTCTCTGGGTGGTTGGTTTTAGCAAAGCAAGCGGCCGTGTGACCAGAAAAAAACAGAGGAACTCCAGCATCAACCCTGAGCAGGCTCCTTAGCAATACAAACCCTTTCAGATTCATTCTAAGCAATAAACTATGGGGAAAAAAATAAAAGTGAAAGAAATTAGCTATGTATTTTGTCTAAAACTCTTCTAAAAAGGTATTTTAATTTTTCCCATTGGTTTGACTCTCTTACAACAAGATTTACAGTAAAAACAGAACAAATGTTTGGGTTTTTTTCTTGCTCCTAAGGATTCCTAGGGCATGAGGCGCATTCTGAGTTTTTATTACTTTGTACTGATTTTATGTTCTTGCTTTTTTTCTTGCTTAGCCGCTTTGACGCATTTGAGACGGCATCTCCTGGGTTCAAGGAGAATTCTTCTCCTTGGAGGGGTTTGAGTGGGGAAGTGAGAAAAAGGGGGTGAAAAAGAACCCCCAGATGCGCGACAGCAGCTTTCGGCTCGGTCGCAAATGGGGAGGAGATGGATGGGGGGGTCACCATCAACTTCCAGCTCCTCAGTGGGCGAGGGATGGAACCGGGGCGGGGGGCGGGCAGCTCTTACCTGCATCCCGGCGTGGTGGGTGCCCGCTCCCCGCGGCGCTGCTTGGCGCT